CTAGATCCAGTTAATTTAAAAAATTATTTTCTGTAGAGAGAGAGTCGAGTCTTGCTATATTGCCCAGGCTGGTTCTGAACTCCTGGGCTCAAGCAGTTCTCCCACCTCAGCCTCCCAAAGTGCTAGGATTACAGGCATGAGCCACTATGCCCTGCTGTGAATCAATTCTGATTGACTGAATCATGCTGTGACTACTAACTACTTTTTTGGTTAACATCTAATGAGAAACTATGGTTACCATTTACAACTCTAGAGACATAGAAATTTTATGTAACTTTTATATTAGTCTCAAGAACGCTGTGAGGTACATCTCATCATCGACACGTCAAAAAGGAAGGCAGAGCTCCACAAAAGCACTATGACTGCCCCCAAGATATGCAGATAGATTTCAGACTCCACCTTTGACTACCAATGTGGTGTCTTTTTCATGATTCTATTTTGCCTTAAAAACTGCTGTATAAGCATGGTGAAGTTCATTCTCCTCTCCAAGTCCATTTCCTCATGAATAAAATATAAGAATAAATCAGCTAGCCCTGATGTGACACACAGTATACTTAGATTTTTCCTGGAAATGGACCAAAAGTCAGAAGACCTAATTTTTGTCGCTACTTTCTGGGTGATTCTGGGTAAGTCACTTCCCTCACTGTCAGCCTGCTTCAGAGACTCAAAACACTCATAAATGAGTTTTGTTTGGCCCACAAATGTTTACTTTTTAAAATTAACTTTTAAAATGAGATAACATTTAATAAGCAGGGCACTTCACAAAAAATTCAAACAACTGGCTTCTCTCTCTCTCTTCTTTTAAATTCAAGTCAAATTGCCTAGATACAAAGGTTAGCTGTTTTATAGTGTGCAAGTGGCTTCACCTCTCTCTAGGCCTATTTGCTCATTTTTAAAACATGGATAATAATATCACTCATGTTAGAGTTGTTGTTAAGATTAAACGAGTCAGTAGAACAGAACCTCGCATTTGGTAAGCACTCAAAATATGTTATTTACTATGTATTAGGTTCCCTGCTTGGCTCCTATCAGCATTTGACCTGCAACCACTTTTTCATTTTTTTAAAATACAGGGTCTGGAGTGCAGTGGCACTAACACGGCTCCCTGCAGCCTCAACTTTCCAGGCTCAAGTGATCCTCCCACTTCAGCCTCCAGAGTAGCTGGGACTATAGGCACAAACCACCATGTTCAGCTAATTAAAATTTTTTTTTGTAGAGACAGAGTCTCACTATTTTACCTAGGCTGGTCTTACAAACTCCTGGGCTCAAGCAATCTTCTCACCTCAGCCTCCCAAAGTGCTGGGAGTACAGCCATGAGCCAACACACTCAGCCTGGGACCACTCTTGACCACCCCTAATCCCTTCCCAGAGTTCTGGAACCAGCCCTCTCCTTTCCTATTCCATATTTCTACATGTTTTACAGGACCTCTCTGAGTGGTCTGTGCTCCCAACCCTTAGCTTCCAGACTGATTGCCCTTTTTCCTTCTCACATAAAAAAGATGTTGCCCAGGTTTCCAGGTCGTTAAATGCCTCTCTCCTTCACGCCACATATCCACTTTCTTT